CAGCTCTTTGCACATTTTATTATAATATTTTGCTTTATCTTCTCGAGTTGCCCTTTATATTCTTCTGTAAAGAAAAAATTATTCTCTGAATGGAAATAATTGAAATTATAAAGAGCATGCCCATTATCTTATAGAATATCCCCTCATATCTCTTCTCTGAATTTTTGTTTCAAGCAGAGATTACTATCTGTATTATCTAAAGATTTCCATTTTTATATATGAAAATTAAGCTGAACATGACATGCATTACAAAGTGAACTGGGAGATGGTGGGGAGGAAAATGGGTATAAATGAATAAATGAAAAGCCAATCTCTTTGTGGACTATTACCAAAATTAAAATTTAAAAAATAAAGATGAAGTGTACAGTAAGAAAAATAGAGAGTATCCTCTTAAGACTATTCCTTAGTTGTTTCTAGGGTGAATTCCTCTCCTAATATGTTTTCAACGTTTCCTCCCTTTTCATTGTCCTCATCTTTCATTCCCACTTCTCTCACCACTCTGGCCCCTCTATTTAACAGTCCTCTACGAACTCTATACAAGTTAAGCATCTGTATATGGGGCATTAGTGATCATTAGCTTCAGCTGTGAGCGAAGAGAAATAAAGCTGAATTCGTGAAATTGGATTTATTGTCTTAACCAATTTATCACATTTGTAATGCCTTCTGTCATGGGTATAAGTCTCTTTCTGGTTTTCAAAGGAGGTAAGGAGTTGTGCTACTAACACAAAGGTGAGCTGTTTGAATCCACCAGCTGTTCCAAAGGAGAAAGATGGTCAGTTTCTTCTGTGTGATTTACAGACTCTGAAAATCTGGTGGAGTTGGTTTCAACTCAGTGGTAACAAGGTTAAGTTTGAATTTGCCTGGTTTCAAAGTCCAAAAGAACAGCATGGCTCTCAGTGCCTCTACCTGTTGTGATCTTGCTGCAGGCTGCTGCCACCCTGCTGCCCTTCCACCCTTCCTGCCTCACTGCTAACAGTTTTGCTTGGGTAATAAGCTAAATCACAGAGTATGAACAAACAGCTTGCTAGTTTGACCTCTCTTATCACTTAGCTATCTCCAGGTACCTTCTCATTTCTTCCATGTAACACATATTTGTAACTCCAGCCTACAAGCCCCTGGATAGGTTCTCAGGAACGGGACATTAGACAAAGCAGCACCTGTTCCAAAGTCTGAGAATCCAAATCTTAGAGATTAGGAGAGAATGCCATAATGATTCACGGTTTGTGACTAGTTTTTCCTTTTCTTGAAAAAGGGGCTTCCTACTCAATTTTCTGATATACTTTTCAAGGAAAGGTAACAGAATGAAAATACCTTTATTGTATCATCTCTATGACTTTTAAAAACGTAAAAAAATTAATTGTAGTAAAATATATATAGAAGAGCTCTGTTAGCCTAGTGGAAAAGAGTTGGTGTTTCCAGTTCCAAGGCATGCAGTTCAATCCGCCAGCTGCTTAGCGGGAGAAAGACATGCAGTCTCCTGTGCAATTTACTGGCTCTGAAAACCAGATAGAGGGTCAGCTCTGAGTTGGTTCTGACCAGAAGTAAACAACAATGTATAATATATGTTTATATGCTACTTTAACCATTTGAAAGTGTAAAATTCAACCTGCTATGCAACCATTACTACTATCCATCTTCAAAAGTCTCTCATCAATCCAAACAGAAACACAAAAGCCCTTAGGCAAGAATCTTATCTTCCTCCACGAACCTGGTTGTGATTGTTATGTGCCACTGAGTCAACTGAAACTCATAAGTGACCCTATTCACAATAGCTGTGAACCCTGCTCTATCCTGAGCCAATCTCATTGTCTCTGACACACCTACCCCCTTTACCCTAGTTACCATGTCAATTCATTTCATCTGGGGTCTTCCTCTCCCACACTGTCCCTCTACCATTCCAAGCATGATATCTTTCTGACAACATTCCCAGTGTATGTGACATGTACCTTCAAAATCCTTGCCTTCAAGGAGCAGCTTAGTTTCACTCTCTCTAAGACAAACCAATTTGTTCTCTTGGCAGTCCATGGTGTATTTCATACTCTTCTCCAGCACCACATCTCAAAGACATCGATTCTTCTATCACCTTTAGCCATTTTTTTAGCTCTCTGATGCATAGCAAAGACCATGACCTGAATCAGGTGCACCTTAATCTCCAGACTGACACATTTTTTGCTCTTTAGCACACTTGAGAGGTCCCTGACAGTAAATTTTCCTAATGAAATTTGTCTTTTGAATTCCTGACTGCTGGTGCCAACAGTGTTTTGAAGCTGGATAAGCTGAAATTATTAACAATCTCAATCTCTTCTCCATCTATCATGGTGCTTTTCATTTTCTTGATGATAAGCTTCAATCTATATTGCAGACTACAGTCTTTGACTCTATAAAGCAAATGCTTCAGGTCCTCCTCAGTTTCAGAAAGCAAGGTTGTGTCATTTGCAGGTTCTGTCACAATGCAGGTTGTTGATGAGTCTTCTTCCAATTCTTACGCCAGCCACCCGAATGATCTGTTCTGCATATAGATTGAAAATATATGGAGACAGGACACATCCCTGACACACTCCTTTCCTGATTTTGAATCATGCAGTGTTTCCTTGCTCTGTTCTGACCAATGCTTCTTGGTCCAAGTACAGGTTTCACATAACCAAAATAAAAAACCAGACCCATTTGCTTGTTCGTCATGTAAGCAAATTATATGTTTTTTATTCTTTTTTCTGACTTATTTCACTCAGCAAATCTTCACTGTTCACACATGTCATGACACACATCAGAGTTTTATTTCTTTACATTTTGTTTACTCAGCCACCTGTTGATGGATACTTGGATTCCCCCCATCCCCCACTTTTTGACTGTGCTGTAAATACCACAGCAATGAATGAAGATTAACACAAATATTTATTTGAGCTGCTGTTTTAAGTCTCTAAGCTTTGTTTATAGGAGTTGAATTTTTGGGTGTCTGAGTTATCTAGTGCCACTAGAGCAGAAAGATCTAAACTGATGTCTTCAGCAAACAGAAACAGATTCTATCATAGTTTAGGAGGATAGAAATCTGGATTAACAGTGCTGGGTCTAGAGGAAGACTTGCTTTCTCTATCAGCTCTGCAGACAGGTTTTGGCCTTCTTTTAGCATCAGAGAGCCCAGCCTTCCTTGGAATCTCCATGTGTCTTAATCTTTCCCTGTATGGAGGTGATTTTCTGAATACAAAGACTTAAATCCCAAGGATGTGTTCCATTTCCAGCCTGTCTTATGGATAGTATGAAGGTCTCATTCTTATTCCTTTTATCACTTTTAAGTAAAATGGTGTTACAGTCACATTCCAGGGAAATTCTCTTTACATCAGTTCAAGGCTATGATAGGATTAAGGATGTGTGCCCTCAACAATAAAATAAAACGAACACCTTATCATGCTGTAGGGAAAAGGATTTTCTTTTGAAAAGGCATTCTTGTTAACAACTAATGGATACATTACTTTTTGATGCTGTTATTTCTGTGTATTTCACTATGACAACAGATTTGGTCCAACCCTGTCCTGTGCCATTTTCCTATTTTACAATATGCTCCATTCCGCTGTTATAGTATCAATCCATCTTGTTTGGGGTCTTCCTGTCTTTCTCTCACTCACCACCTTTCCCATCATGATATCCTGAGACCAAGTTTCACCATTCTTGTCTTTAGCAAGCAACCTAGGTGCACTCATTCCAAGATACACTTGTTTTCTTTGGGTAGTCCATGGGATGTTCAGTGCTCTTTGCTAGTGCCACAATCCAAAGACATCACTTTTTCTTCTGTCATCCCTATTCCATGTCCAACTTTCAGATGCATAATAAGCCACAAAAAAGACCATGGTCTTGGCCAGGTGCACTTTAGTCTTTAAACTGACATTCTTGCTCATTAGCACCTTGGAGAAGTCCTTAAGGGCAGATTTTCCAAATGCAACATACTCAATTCTTGATTGCGGCTACCATGAATGTTGATTGAGGATCCAAGTAAAATAAAATCCTTGACAACTTTAATCTTTTATCCATAATACTGGATGATGTTGCCTATTGGTTCAGTGGTGAGGATTTTAGGTTTTCTCTAAGTTGAGACGCAATGAATATTTAAGGCTCTTTTCTGTGATCTTCTGTAGTAAGTGCTTTAAGTTTTCTTCACATTCTGCAAGCTAGGTTATGTCAGTAAATGATACTCTTATATACTTATTGATAAGAAGCTGCACTGCAACCCCAAAGGCATGCAGTTTTGATCTACTAGCTGCTTCACAGAAGAAGGAACAGTAATCTCCTTTTGAGCCATTTATTTTCTGAAAACCTAGTGCAAGGTCAACTGTAAGTCAGTTCTAGCTTGATGGCACACAACAACAACAACAACAATGATTTATTCACTGCAAACATCTTTTTTTCAGAAACAAATTATGATTATTCACATAGACCTCACCTGATGATCTACACCGAAATTGGAAGAGACTCAATGTATAAGCTTAATATCAGTAGTCAAAACAAAGCCAGGGGTTGCCTGTTGAAGAAAATGAAAACAAGTACAAAAGACCCAAAATAAAATATTGAGTCTATCCCAATTGAATTTAATAAAACTGTGAGTCGACAGGTGACATTCCCTAATTACTAGGTCAGGCCTAAAGGGCTTGTTGCATTTGCCCAGCAGCAGAAGGGGCTCTGCTCAGGACACTGTGACTCCCAGGGCCAGGCCCAATCCTCTCAGTTTCCCTCTTTGCTCTTTTGTGCTCAGATTTGTCCTGCAGAGAGTCAGGTGAACTCATCGTTGGCTTTGATCTTGGAAGGACCAAGCTCTGAAAACCAGCGAGCTCTGTGCAGGTAGGTTAGGACAAGGTGGATGGTGAGAGACAAGCCCTGGTTTCCTATTGGTCACAGTCCCTGGGCAGCATCTCCCTTGTATACCTGGGGAGGGACTAGGGGGCTCATGTGGATACCTGCTCAATGTCCGTCTGGTCACCCTTCCCACCACAGTCAAACTGAACAATACCCACCAATTCATCAGAGGCGTGAGGAGGACTGTAAGATGGAAAGGCAAAAGGTAGCACACTGCTGGGCTCCACAGGGAACTGGGCCAAGAAATCACGTTGACTAACCCCAGGCAGAAAGAGGTATTTGGAGGCATACTCTTCTATAAGTAAAAAACAAAAACAGTACTTTTAGGGTAGTCTGAAGTGTTTTCTATAAACAACCATCTTTAGTTGCATATTTACCACACCAATTAGCTTACAATTCTTTAGTTTTTAAATTTTACCTTAAATTCGCACAATGGAATACTATGCTGCATTAAAAAACAAGGAACTCATGCAATATTATTCAAAATGGTTGACTCTGGAGAACATTATGCTGAGTGAAATGTTCCAGTCACAAAGGGACAAATATTGCATGGTGCCACTGTTGTAGAATGGGACTGTCCTTGGGGTTGGGGAGAGACTGAGTAAGATGGGTTCAATAATGTATGCTGTTATGAAACAGAGAAGGGAGAAAACTGTTTAAAAGAGATATGTGATTAGGTATTTCTGTCATGACAGGAGTCTAGAGCGATGGCTACATGGTGGAGTGGACCTGGGGGAGGGTTTGTAAAATAATGAAAGAATATTTTCTTTTACTTTTCCAAGAGGGTAATGTCTGGTGGCGGGGGAAGCCTTGGGAGGGGACAAATCTACAACAATGAATGAATGGAAATCCAAAGCCTCTGTAAATTTTCATTGAAATGAATAACAAATTTAAATTAAAAAAAAAAGAATTAAGTTAGAGTAAGGATGGCAATGGAACCACCTTACCTCTGTAACTTGATTTGTGCCACTATTAGAACCTCTACTCAGAATATTATTGTTTTTCAATTTTTGACTCATGCACTTTTAACTTGTTAAATTTGTATCTTCTAGGCTGCAACACTTCCATGATACATGCATCTTCAAGGATATGAACATGTACGGCTAAGCACAATTGATAACAGTGCATCTAAATTCCAAAATCAATCTCCATAATAGTCTATGTGTTTCCTACTGCCAAGGGAGCCCTTTAGAGTAGTGAGAGAAGACATTCACCCTGAAACCCACAGCGTCCCTTTTCAGCAGGAAGTAGCTAAGAGAATACGGCATCCCCTTTTCCTTATGAATCAGGGTGAAGTTTCTCTCAGGGAGGAGTGATAGGGAATGGCAAGAGACACACTGACAAAGGAGATTAATCAGAACTGGCTTTGACAAGCACTGTGGCAATTGGACAATTAAAACAGACATGCAGGGGGAAAGAAGAACGAACTGGGAAGGAGGGTGGAGAAAACAGTGCAACAATGAATGAATGAAAACCCCAAATCTCTGTAAATGTTCATTAAAACTAATAAAATTAATAATAAAAAGAATAAAAACTTTTGCTATGTAAAAAAATATTTCTAGTGAAAGTATTTTTGGTGACTATTCTTTGTTTTTACCAGAAAATAAAAATATTATATATATATAACTAAAGAATCTCAGGGAGTATTTTCCAGATATCCACACATTCCACACATAACTTGCAGGTGAATTATATATATACAGACAGATGTAGATGATACAGATATATGGGGGTGGGGGGAGGGTGAGAGAGAGAGATTTATTTTGTAAACTAAATTTGAGACCACAGCTACAAATAAAAGGAAGACAAGAGAATGATTATTGCTGTTGCTATGTACCTTTGAGCTGGAACCAACTCATAGTTGACGCTCCAGCAGGTTTTCAGAGACTAAATTGCACAGGAGATTGCTCATCTTTTCCCCTCAGAGAATCTGGCAGATTCGAACTGTGTGCCTTAGGGTTGGCAGTGTGACTCTTTACCACTGGGCCACCAGAGCTCCCTTAGAAATCATTAAACTACTTTCAAAAGCACACGTCTAAACATTGGTGGAGAGGAAAGAAGGGAGGTGAGCTGAAGGTTGGGCTGCAGGAAAATGGAGAGTCTAGAAGTATCAGAAGCTGCCATAAAATCCATAAGCTGGAAGTACATATACTGGGATAGGATGGTGGTACTGGGTTTTGAGCTACTGAGAGCAGGCCTCCAATAGCTATCGCTAACCTGGGAACCAAAGGGTTGAAATTGCTTTAAATAGTAAAGAATTCCATTTTACGGTATGAAAGAAAATCTTTCTATGCAAATATGAGGTTGAGACAACATTAGATCCAGTCTGTCAATCAGCAAGAATAAATGATAACAATGTTTCTTCTCTGGTTTCAAGAGGGTGTGCACACAAGACAGGAGTTTGGAAACTCAAGTCATGTTTCACAGATGTTACAACTTGGCATTGGGTCAACTTTTTCCTCTCTGGTGAGATACTTGGAAAAACTCTGCATGGTGGTGAGCACTGTCTGAAATCAGCAGTTGAACAAAGATGATTCCCCCTCCCTGCAAGAACTCCACATCTTAATCTCTAGAATCTGTAGGTATGTTATTATACATATTTACCTAGAAGGGGCTTTGCAGGTGTGATCAAATTAAAGCTTGTGAGAGGGAGCTCTTGACTACCTGGGTAGGTGCAGTGTGATCACAAGAAGTCTTTTAAGAGCAGCAGAGTTCATCATCAGAGGAAGAAACATGATGACAGAAACTGGAGGTCAGATGAAGTAAATAAGGGGCCAAGACTCAAGGGATGCAGGCAGCTTATTTTTTATTATTAAATAGCTTTTTAAAAACTTTTTCATTATTGTTTTTTAAATTTTTTAGTGGAAGTTTACAAATCATACTGTTTTTTCATTCAGTCATTCATAGGCATTTTTATAACATTCATTATAATTTATCAATGTAATTTTAATTATAATGTCTAATAAATGCCTTATTCCATATTATCTATCACTTTACTTAATTGATCTATATATTAATTTTTTTTAATTTCATCTCCATCTATTCCCATCTCTGGTAACTACTCAAGAATGCTCTGGCGAGCTCTGGTGGCCTAGTGGCAAGAAGCTGCACTGCAATCCGAGAAGTACGTGGTTCGAATCCACCAGATGCTCTGATGGAGAAGGAGGAAAAATCTCCTCCTGTACTAGTCAGATCTGATTTGACGGTACACACACACAAAAGAATAAAAAAAAATAAATAAAAAATAATGCTCCTTATCTCAGTTAAGCCTTTTATAATAGTGGTCATAAGATAATTGTCCTTTCATGACTGAATTATGTCAGTCAGCATTAGTTGTTCTATATACAGCCATGTTGTGCAGTATTTCTCAAATCCTTGATCATTTTTTCAGAAATGTGTAATTTTAAGTTATATGAACAGTTTCTTTGGCCATTTGTACATTGATAGAATCAGGATTATTTGCAACCCTCTGCTACTGTAAATAATGCTGCAATAAGCATAGCAGAATGTCAGTTTGGTTTGAAGCTCTTATTTCTCTGGAATATATATACCTAATAGTGGGATTGCTCAATCAAATCATATTTGTATTCCCATCTTTCTAAGAAAGCAACAAACTGCTTTCCATAGTGGTTGCACAATTTTATATTCCCATCGGCAGTACATGAGAGTTCCATTCACTCCACATCCTTGCCAACATGTATTGTTCATTGTCTTACTGAACACTAATATTGTTGCCGGGAATTTATTGTTCAGATTGCCAAGAGAACAAACAGGTCTGTCCTGGAGAAGGTGAAACCAGGCTGCTCCTTGAAGGCAAAGATTTTGAAACTCTGTGTCACATACTTCGGGTATGTTGTCAGGAGGGATGAGTCCTTGGAGAAGGACATCATTCTTGCAGGGTCTGTGCAGGAGAAGAAGACCCTGTATGAGATGGAGAGATTAACTTGGGATAGGTCAAGGTTCAGAACTATTGTTCACATGCTGTAGTTCACGCAATTGTGCATAACAACAACGTTGTTGCTGGAGTGAGATGATATCTCATTGTTATTTTGATTTGCATCTCTCTAACAGCTAACAGTGTATATTTGTATTTTGTTGACTATGCAAAATCATTTGACTGTGTGAATCACAAAAAATTTTGGCTAATATTGAGAAGAATGAGAATACCAGAACATTTGATTTGGCTCATGTGAAACCTATACCTATACCTATACCTATACCTATACCTATACCTATACCTATACCTATACCTATGCCTATACCAAGAAAGCTGTTGTCTAAACAGAGCAAGGAAACATCTCACAGTTCACAATTAAAAATTAAGAAAGGAGTGTGTCAGGGATGTATCCTTTCTCTATACCTTTCTGATCTATATATGGAATAGATCATGCAAGAAGCTGGACACTATGAAAAAGAATATAGCATCAATATTGGAAGAAGACTCTTCAACAACTTGTGTCATGCAGATGACATTTGCTCCAGAAAAGGCCCCATTCAGACAAAAGCCAATGTTGATGAAGCAATATAGCAGGATAAAACTGATGCACGGGACCTTCTAAACATTAAATCCTTGTGCACATCAAAAACTTTTACCAGTAGAGTGAAAAGAAAACCTACTGGCTGGGAAAAAACATTTGGCAATACCAGACAAGGGTCCCATATCAAAAGTTTACAGAATCCTACAGGGTCTTCACAAGAAAAAGACTGATAACACAATTACAAAATAGGCAAAAGACATGGAAAGAATTTTCAGAGGAAGATATTCAGATGTAAAACAGACATATGAAGAAATGGTCAAAATCACTGTCAATAAGAGAGATGCAAATCAAAACCACAGTGAGATGCCATCTCACTCCTATACCAGTTGTAACGTTTAAGAGGAGAGCAAGTAGTAAATGCTGAAGATGATGTGGTGAAATAGGAACGCTTATACATTTCTGGTGGGATTGTAAAATGGTACAGCCATTCTGGAAGGCAGTTTGGTGCTTCCTCAAAAAGCTGAACATGAAAATTCAATATGACCCAGCTTTTCCATTGCTTGAATAAACCCTGAGCAAATGAGAACTGAGGCACAAATGGAGACTTGTACACCAATGTTCATAGTGTTATTCACCATTGTAAGAACATGGAAACAGCCCAGTACCTAACCACAATTGAATGGATTGAAAAATTATGGTACATTCACATGATGGAATACTATGCAGTACACAGGAGCAATGATTTTGTAAATTATCACCTAACTTGGGAGGGACTGGAGAACTCAGTCCCATAAGGACAAATATTGTATAAGACCAT